ACATATGTGAGCCGATATTATATATTATTCATAATGGTTCACATATTCATCTTCAGCTATATTTTTTTAATGATTCACATATGAACATTTTATTAACCTAATCTTTTTATTACAATATTTATCCTTATTATTTGAACACCCTATATATGTGTGTGTATGGGGTTTCTAGTAAAAAAAAAAACCTTTTCCATGAAAATGTTGGAAGGATTTCTGACCATTAGATCAATTTTAATAAGATCATCCCGTTTAAAAAGATAAGTAGAATTTTCCTCTTTTAATACAAAATAAGGGCAATTTTGTCACATTGTATAATAAGGAATTCATTCATTGCAACAATAACAAATCAAACATTCAATGTAAAAGCAAAATGTATTAACCCAATCTTTTTAAATCTAAATATTTTAGAATATAATAAAATTTTGAATTAAACAAATTATATAAAAATTTATTATCTTTAATTTGATCCTTATATTGTTATATTTATTTCAGTTTTTAATACTTTCATATGAAATAAGAACCTTCGTCATGCACGTCATATAATTTATTGTGAAGGTTTGGTTCATGTTTAATAATTAATGATTACATTCACATTAAATAACTGAAGATTTATTGTAAGTGTTCCCCTAATTCATGTGATGGTTGGATTTGGACTCAAACTTCGTGTTTATTACCAAAAGGCATTTGACCTAGCGGTATGTGAGTCATTAGCCTTCTAGGAGGTCAATGGTTCAAACCTTACCAAATGTGAGGAGGGCATGTGAGTTTATTTGTTCTATTTGTCATATATAAATATTATATACTTTAAAAAAACTTTGTGTTTATTACCTTCACAAGTAATTGTCAAACCCCATGCATGTCATGTCGTTTTATTGTCAAGTTTTGGTTAATGTTTGATGAATAGTTGTTACTTTCACTGAATAACATAATATTTACAATAAAATATGTAAAAATTTCATTATTTGTATAAATATTTGACTAGGCCCAAGCCCGCTATACCATATTCCTCTCCTCGCCTTAATCCAAATCAGTCTCCCCTAATCGGCGGCTAATCTCCAGACTCCAGTCCGAGTATCTGACGTTCGTCCTTGTCTTCCTCTTCCCTCTCGGCTCCCGCTCCGGCGCTCCGTTTTCAGTTTTCCCCTTCCCTAGTCGGCGCTCCCTCTGATGAGGGTTGTGTCTCCTCATCAGGCACACTTTGAAGCACTACAAATAGGCTTCCTAACCCTCATATGAGGTGATCAACTAATTGAACTAGAGTACGGTGTGCTTCTCCTTTCTAAAGTTCATATTGTCTGGTTGTTTGCTTTTGTAGAGTTAATTTTTGGTTGTGAGATCGTTACAAATGCAAGTAATAATCATCTTTGAGATTGGGATTTGTAGCATTTTTTTGTGATAATCAATGCTTTTATCATGGTATTGTCTATTTAAGTTGTCGATTGAATAAACTCAAGGACATGGCTGTTCTTAGAAGTGGGAAGAAGTACATTTCACTTGACATAACCTGAAGCGATCTTTGTGGGGGCTTTGCATAGAGATATTAAACAAATAGGCTTAACGGGTTAGCAATTTTGAGCATCGAAAGTAAGTTTTTAGCAAAGGTTGACTATGATAGATTAATTGAAGATTTTGCTTCACGAAGTGCACAAAGACACCATTTTAGATGAATAGGTAATCTTATATTTGTTTTGTTATTTGGAGTTTTGGTTTATCCCCTCCCCCCCTCCCTTTGCCTATACCATGACCCATAAGTTTTGATTGTGAAAAGGAACTCTTGATAGTGGGAAGTCAAGAAAGAACCAAACATTCATATGAAACAACGAAGTTTCCACTATGAAAGTTGAGTTGTATCAATTTTTTCATAAGAAACAAGCTTCTTCCATTGCATACAACCTTTTTGGATGTAGATGGATCTTTTATTTATATATATATATATATATATATATATATATATAGGTGGAGGTTCAAACGAGAACACCTCTATTTTATGATAACGTGAGAACCACCTTATCACAAGTGATAATACGTGTGAGGGGACCCTGTGATGTGTGGACGACATGTTCTACGACTTAGGCCAGCCAAAGGTTGTCAGCGTCTATGATTTAGCATCACATGTGATGGTTTTGATGGAGTATAATATCATATCAACAACAACCTTATCACATGTGATAATACTTGTGAGGGGGCTTAGTGGTGTAAGGGCGACTTGGCCCGCAACCAAGTTCGCATCAAAAATCGCCCATGTCTCTTATTTAGTATCACATGTGTATCATATGTGATGAAATAATAGTATCACATGTGATGGAATAATAGTATCACATGTAATTATCTATAGTAAAAGAGTGTTATCGCGTTCTTGTAAAATGAAGGTGTTCTCGTTTGAACCTTTCCCTATATATGGAAGGGTTCAAACGAGAACACCTTCATTTTACGAGAACACCCTTTTACTATAAACAATCACATGTGATACTATCATTATAATACATATGATACACATGTGATACTAAATCAGAGACATGAACGACTTTTAATGCGATCTAGGTTGTAGGCTAAGTCGCCTTTATACCACTAAGCCCCCTCACATGTACTATCACATGTGATAAATGTGTTATTAATGTGATACCATAATCCATCAAGATCATCACATATGATATTAAATCATAGACGCAGACGACCTTTGGTACGACCTAAGTCGCAAGACACGACATCCATACACCCCCAAGTCTCCTCAAGTGTATTATCACATGTGATAAGGATGTTCTCGCATTCTCGTAAAATGAAGGTGTTCTCGTTTGAACCTCCACCTATATATATATATATATATATATATAAAGAAAAAAATTAAATAACCGTAAAGGCATAAACTTAGGCAAGGCGTTTTTTTGAGATTACGATATCCAACTCCAAATTTGGAACCTCCTTTTTAAATAGTCGATGTAGAACTCATCCGGTCCCTACCTATCTCGATCCCAACCCCAATCCTGATTGGAGATGGTCAAATGGTCTTGGCCCGGCCCAGAACCGGCGGAGGGGTGGGAACGAGACTGATATGGGACCGGGATTGGCCCGACGGTCCTTCACTAGTTACACTTTTTCTTGAAATTTGTGACCCGACCCGGTTATGGGACCGAGACTGGTTATACATAGGCTCGAATTTTTTTAAAAGAAAAAGTTTTAGAACTTATATATGAAGTATTTCAAAATTTCTACAAAATTTCCAAGTTTTTTTTACCAAAAACTTCAAGTTCTTTTTGAAGTTTTTCAAGTTCTTTTCGACGTTTTTCAAGTTTTAACAAGCATTTCAATACTAAATCTCGAAAACCGTAATTATAAAATCATCTATAAAAAGATTTAAAAAATATTTTAAAAGTGTATTTGAATGATTCAATTAGAGATTTTAAAGTGTATTTTAACAATATATTGAAAAAAAATCTTCAAACACGATTTTTTTTACATTTGAAATTGATTTTTGGAAAAGAAAAAAAAACTGGGACCGGTTTCGGCCCGACCTTGGACCTGTTATAGGGACCGGTTACATAAAACATAGAATATGCCATGGGTTTTGGTCGGGATCGGGACTGATTACGAAAGCATTTCTTAGACTTGGACCGATTTGGGTCCGGCCCGGCAGCGGCGGATTCAGGATTTTTCCCTAGTTGAGTCACATTTTTTTAGGAGTATATAATATTTATATACGACAAAAAGAACAAATAACTCACACACCCTCCTCACCTTTGTTAAGGCTTGAATCATTGACCTCCTAGGAGGGTCAAGACTTATATACCGCTAGGCCAAAAGTCCTTTTATTAGTGGAGCCACCTTTAAGGTAGCCTAAAGGACCGCAAAGTCGTCCGACGTGTTTTTAGCCTAATTACACCGTTTCAAGGGATTTTTAAAGTTTTTTGGTTGATTTCAATGGATTTTCTAGTGTTTTTGTCGATTCAGATGACTTTTTCAGTTTTTTTCATTGATTTCAATAGACTTTTTTGGTTGATTTTAAGATACTTTTTTGAAGTCGACGGTGATCGGATAGGATTGTGGGGTCCCTTACAAAAATTTACTAGGAGAAACTAAGTGAAAAGTTAAAAAGAACTATTTTTTTAACCCTTGTAATTTTGTTTTCAAATGGGGTCCCTTTGCCCAACTCCTTAGTCCGCCACTTACTCAGGATCAATTTTTTGACCATCTCTAATCCTGATTCCAAATGGTTGGAGTGTAGTGGGCCTTTCGGTCCTTAGACAATAAAACCAGCGCTTATTCTAGTCCTCAATTTTTTTCATCTTTTTTACATAAAAATGTTTTACAAGTTTACATGATCATAATCTTGGAAATTAGGCTGTTTACCAAACGCTTACCCAGATAAGCCCTTACTAAGTTACACTACCTCATCGGATCAAGATGGTAAGGATTAAGAATCTTACTCGGTAAGAGTGAGACAAAGACCAAGAGTCTTACCCGGTAAGTGAGGACGACGACTCTTACTACGGTAAGCGCTTACCGGGTAAATCGTTTCATACGATGTCGTTTTGGTGGACTAAATCTTACCCGCTAAGTAAATAATAATGTTAAATTTTACGGGTAAACACTTACTAGATAAGTGTTTGGTAAACGACTCCTAAATATTGAAATACACTTTTAATTATTATATTTATCTGAAAAAATCTTGAAAAATTAATCCTATGAACAACTATTCCCGGACCCATAACCAGTCACCGGGCAGTCCAAAAAATTTAGAGAAAAGTGTAACCTGTCGAATTCGGTCTCGGTCTTGGGACGTTTTCGTTTTGACCATCGCTAGACTAGGATAGTATGCCTATGATTTTCTCGTAAAATCAGCTCTTCTAAAAAAGGGGTTCTAACATATGTTTAAAGGTTAAATGAATGTATGTAGCAAACGCTTTACTCCAAGGATGCATATTAAACAATCTGTGAAATTAATATTGAATGATAACATAAAAAAGAACGATCCAAAATATTTGAGAAGATGGTATGATTACACAACAAATTTCAATTTCAATTTCAATTTGAGATGAGGAATACAATAAGATATTATACCCACACCTCAACAACAAACCAAAACATGGATTTCAATTATTTCTCGATTACCCCACATGGATTCCCCATCTTTTCTTCTTCCAGATGTTCACTCTTTCCGCCCTAACAAATTCCAATTTCAGAAATTACTTACAACTACTATACATGAATTATGATCATCAGGATTGAGGATTTAAATCAATTGCTGATTACTTGCCTGTGATTTATCTGGTTTGATCTTCTCTTGTTCCTTCTCTCTCAATGATCTGATCGGCAATATCCTCTGAAACGCAAAAACTAAAATTAAAACTCAAATCTCGATTTGCCTTTCTACGATTTTCGTTTTGTTCATGAACTTACGTTGCATAAGGATCTGAGCTCGTTTAATCGATAAAGCCGATCAACTTCCATCTCCAGAACCTTCTGAATCTGGCCTCTGTGATCCAGATCCTTCATCTTCATCTCCATCATTACTTCCCTCTCTCTTAACATCTTCTCCGTCTTCTCTTTGTCTAACCTCAATCTCTCCATTTTTTCTCGTATGGCGCTCAGTTCTTCAGCCAGCGAGACTTCAAATTGCTCGATTTGTACTGGAACTGCAGCAACGCTGCAGATTGAAGAACGATTTCGTTTCTCATTCTGATTCGGATTCTCCTTGTTTGAATCTTCGATCCATCCAAGCTTGAGATTTGGCTTTTGATGGCTGTGGTCAACCAGTGGAGGTGGTACATTGGCTGGGGATTTGATAGGTTGGAGAGGCCGTCGTCCGGTATTTGGCCGGAGGAGATGGTTCCCGGTGACGGGAGATTGAGCTGTTAACATAGTTGAGAGTTGGGCGAGAATGGAATGTGTGTATTAATTGTTAAAATAGGATGAAAAAGGGTGTTTGGAAAATTAGGTTTGAATTTGAAAGCACCGAAGCGGGACTAACGGCTATTAAATTTATACGAGAATATTTTTTAAAAGTAAATCTTACATTTATTTAATATTTTAATTATTGATTAAGTTTACAAACTTTATTAAACTCGTAATTTCAATGACATTCAAAATTATTTTATTATTAAAAGTTTAATAATTATTTTTATAATAATAATAATTCTGTGACCAGATTTAATAAATCATTTATTTATTAGATTTAAAAATTAAAAATACAAAAATAAAATAGTTGGTGAGATGGTCCATCCATTTTAATATACTTTGAAATTTATTATATGTTAGCAACCTTTTCGACCCATTTATTACTTTTTGTCTTTTTTCTAAAAAGTGAATTACATTTTTGGTCCCTCTGGTTTGTAATTTGTATGATTAATCTCTCTCAAACGCGTTTAATACAATTTCGGTACCGGTGATATGTAAAAATCCACTTTTCTGAGTTGTTTAGAGGTATTTTCGTTCTTTTACCTTTTTTTGTATAAAATAAAAATGTATCAAGTATTTTATTATATCTTTACTACATTAATAAACATTTAAATCAAAGTCTTAAGTATAAATTATAATGCATTGAATACAAACTTTTAAAGCACAAAATAAATAAAAAAACTCTTAATTACAAGGTTGTATGCATGATGTACAACTTATTAATACACTGATTTTTCACTATAACCAAAAATGGAGTCTTAGACTCCCTTTTTTTCTACAACAGCTCTCATTTAGAATAAACTTTATTTTTTCTCCTCCTTATAAAGTTTTCTTTTATTTTCTTCAACATCCATTTTTACACATAAAAATATCCACTGAAACACTATACAAGTATTGTATGCATGTTTTGAATTCTTTAAAAGCTTTTGACATTTTTTGTCTTCACAAGAGACTAAAATTTTTGGTTGCTTTCATCTTTTTTGTCTAACTCTATCGGTGCTCTGCCCCTAATGCCATTTACCTTCTTCTTTATTTTTTGTTTGAATTTCAAAATTAAAATGAAAGAACCAACTTGTCATTATTTTATAGTCTCCTGGTGATTCTTGCCTATTTCAATTTTTGCTTACTCGGTGCATTGCACAGATACACTACTAATTTATTATATATATATATATATATATATATATATATATATATTACACACACACATATACATATAAACGTTAAACCCATATTTTTTTAAATGTGAAAAAAATGTGAGTGTGATATGCAACTTCTCACACACACATAAATAAAGTGTGTTAATCGGTAAGCTTCGAGGAAGGTCGAAATGGAGGAGGAAGATGGGAAGGGAGAGGGAGAAGAGGGTGGCCCGTGGGTTCACTAGAGGAGGTTGGTTGGGGTGGAGGAGGCGGTAGGATTACAAAGACAATATAGTGGTGCTGGGTTTGTTCGAATATGGAGGACAAACTCGGTTTTCTTAAGGTGAGGGGTGACTCATTGATGGAGATGTGTGAGAGGTTAATGCGTGTAAGTGTCTTAAAGTGTGTTGAGAAGGTGGTTGATGCTTGTGTATGTGTTGGAGTTAATGGAAGTCGACAATGGGGTCGGATGCAAGACGAAGGGAAGGGGTGGGTAGGGTATTATTGATATAAAGACAAATATTTTATTATACAAATCAAGAAAAAGACAACAAAAAAGAAGAAGAAAAATACCAAAACGTCTTTTGCATTAACTAGGTTAACGTCTGTTAAAACCGAGGGGCTTACAACGTGTGTTTTTACATACCACAAGTATTGGGAGCACAATAAACACATTTGAGGGACCAAAAATGTAAGAGAAGCTTTTTCTATGTTAGAATTTAATTTTAAAAAGATATTTAAATAAAGGAATCGGAAGCATTATGAATTAAATAATTCTTAAATGAAAGTTCTTCTGAAAACAATTAATATTTTCTGGATTTAGATTCTCTAAAAACATAAATATTAAATATATATTCTCTCGATTGTGTAAAAAAAGTATATTTATGCTTAATTTGTAAAACATTATAATTGTATCTTTATTTGGTATATGTGGTTTTATTTTATGAATTTGTTGGTTTTGGAAGATAGTTTTATATATGTTATCAATAGTTTATTGTAATAGTAGGTTCAACGTTTATCTTATATTTAAATATGTTTATCATTTGGTTATGAGTTAATTTCATAAAGTTAAAGTATTAGTTGTATACTTGTATGTAATATATATATATATATATATATATATATAGCAATGTGCCCATGCAATGCACAAAGTGAGCAGGTTTGAAAGTTATTGTAAATGGAAAATGAAAAGCTCTTGTAGGTCTTCAACAGATTCTTCAAAATTGAGAAAATAGAGATCTTGAACCAATTTTATGCTCCAACAGATTCCCTATAATAATCTCTAAAATGGAGAAAACGAAAATAAAATATTTTTTTCTCCAAATATGAACACCACAAAAGTGATTACCATGTGAGAAAAATATTTCATATATTTGACATTCGATTCATTATTAAAACATTTGAGTCTTATATGAAGACGGTTTAATTATACAAAAATCTTATTATTATTTACAAATGTCATGAAGCAAAATGACCTCTAATTAAGAGATAATATCAAAAATAAAAAAATTTGGACCAGTAAATTCTAGAATCTAAATTCACCCAACAAAGTAAGGCTCCATATAAAAATAGAATCGTAAGGGGCTCTCGTTTTAGCCATTCAGAGTCCACTGAGACGATGGCTATACTGAATGAGCCAAGTAATTCACCCAACTCTGTAAATATTAGCTAGGGCCTTGCAATATGACATTACTCGGTCCCTCATTACCAAAAGGTGAAACGAAGCTTTTTATCAACTGTTATCCACTACCCTCATAATGTTCTTGTTGTAAGACTACTAACCATCTTTGTGAAAATCGGTCTGTAGTTCACACATTCATTGATTCAGAAGGTTGACGTTTCAATTGGTTCTTGAAAACATAAGAAAAGTACCTGGATAAAAGCAATGCAACAATAAGGTAGAAAGTATGGATAGGTTTGAAAATAAAGAGCATTCTTGGGCATGGAAAGCATGTTGGGCCAGAGAAAGTCTTATTACACTTTTAAAGGTAAAAACTTTGAACAGAAACCCTTTGGTACAAACTGTTATATGAACATGAATTAAGAAAAGAAATTAAAAAGATTTTCATACCAAAAGCCCTCCATAGGCTCCCATTTGTCTTTTTTTAGGCCCATAGCCCTTCCATTGGATCTAGTCAAACAAATATATATATATATATATATATATATATATATATATATATATATCTATACTATCTTATAATGCATTTGGCTAAAACTCTTAAACTCTTGAAC